GCCTCGCAGGACCTCGTAGGACTCTCTCGCGACTCTCCGTCCGTCGTGCGTTTCGCCGACGGAGAGTTTCGAGTGGTCTTTCCAGTTCGCAACGCGACCAAAATGGCCCGGCGGTGTATACACGCTTCTCCCCTCCCTCTCTGGCCGTTTCTCCTCTTCCGCCTCCTTTGATCTTCTCCCCGTCCTCCTCCACCTCGCCTCGCCGCGCCTCGCCTCCTCTCGTCGTCATCGCCGTCGTCATTGTCTTCTCTCGCTCCGGATCGCGGCCTCCTCGCCGGCTCTCCCGCGCCCCGCGAGTCTTCCGTGTCCGGCTGCGGCCGGCCGTAAATGGCGAGAGCAGAAGGCCTTGGGCGCCCACGCCCCCGCTGCCTCTCTCTCTCTCTCTCTCTATCTATCTATCTTTCTCCCACTGTCTCTTTCTTCTCTCGCGCAGCCCCCTCCCGGCCGCCCCGCCGCGGATCATCGCGCGCTCCCTTATCTCCGACAGCGCGAAATCCCCGGCCGCCGTCTGTCTGTCGCTCCTCCGGCTGGCCGATCGCCCTGGTGCCTCTTCGAGGCAGCTGATGATCAAAGGGACAGACGCAATCAGACGATGAAGAGACGGCCCCGTCGTCACCCCCCGGGGCCGAGCTCGAAGGGGGAAACGCGGCTCTCCACACTCGGCTCTCGCGACTCGGCGAGCGCGTGTCATTTCCTTCCCGCTCGTTACCGAGTCGTGTTGTGCACCTCGCTGTTTTCACACTCCACATTCCGGAGGATCAGGTTTTCCGTTCGACCTGCCTGTGCTTAACGGGAAACAGGCGAACACACAACATGCGGGCGCGCGCTCGCTTTGTACGGCAACTTGCCGTCGGCACGGAGAGGCAATCACAAACGACGAAGAGTGGGGCTTCAAGTTTAACGCCGAGGCCTGGCGCTTCTTCGAAACTCCGGAGCTCCTCGAGCCTGCTGTGCCTACCCGAATGACGGAATTCCGAGGTGGTCGACATCAACAGTCGAGTATCTTTCAAACGGTACTAATCGCATTCCTTCGAACTCGTCCCGTCGGGACCGTCGGCTAGAAATTTTGGTCAGATCTGTCTGTTATTGACGAGGACTTAATAGGATGAGTCGAAAGGTAATTCCAATTAAGTCAAACCCTGTAATGTCCTGGTTACAATAAAACATAACCTTTGTAAGGTTACAATGATTGGATCCATATTAGGACCTTGATGTATCAACTTGATAAGGTCGGGTTGGTCGGACCCTTGCCGGGATTTTTATTCACTCTACTTGATGTGGCTCGCGTCATCAGGTTTTAACAAGTTACAGTTAATTATTTTTTTCCATGTTTGTACGTTTCCGACGTCGAAGCAATCCGAATACCGACATTGGGTCTTCGATGTTGATTCGACGTCGTACGAACCAAATGTCTCTGACTCTGGGCAGAGGATTTGGATCTTAATCTGAAATAAAATGTGAGAAGGATTCAACAACTTGATAAGGACCTGACTATGAATCCTTAATAAGATCCTGATGCCCACGCTGCGTTACATGACTTAGTGGGACCTAGCAGTATTACCTTATCCGGACTTGATGACCAAATGAGGTTAACCTGATCAGGACCAAGGGATAAATCTCTAGCCGGGCGATCCTGTCTAGTTTATAGGATCATCGCATCTGATTTATCGTAGCGAATTATACCGCGCGGAGGGAGAGAAATGTTTGGTTGGATAAACCAGCTCTCTCTTTCTGGTGGAATATCAACGACTCAGAAATCCCCATTAAAGACAGCAGAAAATTCCGCTCAAGAGTTGATCCGAAATTCTGACAATTGTGGCCGAATTCTGATAACTCCAACCGGGATTGTATCGTTTATATTACGCCAGAAAATTGCCTTTGTTCCCCCCTCCCGTGCAAAGCTTTAAGTATATCAAATACTACGTCCAATAATCTTCACCCTTCGCCCCTCCCCCCAAACTGAGCTCGAGAGCGACGAAGAATCCAGAAGAAAACTAGAGGAACGATCGTAATCCTTCGAGGAAAGGAGACGCGAGTCGCCGAAACCACGGCGACCTCTTCGCGTCCATCTCTTAATTATCATCATTACCGTTGTTAAGTCCTACCGAGTGATACCTCGAGTAAAAGTTGCAAGAAATGTTGAGCTATCGCTTGCTAAGCAAAGCATCGCGCGTAGAGGCGAGGTGGCGGCCGAACAGCTGATATTAAATCTGGAATCCAAAAGTGGATGAGAAAGAGCGACCCGGCCGCTGAATAATGGATGAAAGGGCGAACACCACGTTGCGCATTCACAATCGCGCCCAACTCGATCAGATTTCTGTGATTCCCGGTGGTTGCCGGCGATTACTTCAGCGTCGACTTTGTCGTCGTCGACACGCATCTACGCACCGAAACAGACTTTCACGACCGCGTTACCGCTTTATGAGCGGGAGACGGAATATTCCGCGCTTACTTTTACAACATTTGTAATACCCACGGCCAACGGGAAATTCCGCAAAACGTACCGCTTATTGATCGCCTTTATTGCGTCGCTGCGACTTAATTTCCGAGAAGGGATTTCCGAGGAAAATCACATCTGTGACAATTGCTCGCAAAGTCTGCAGAAAGCGGTTCATTTCCTTCTCTCGCGTGTTATATATTTAATTTTATACTTCATATTTATTTTATTACCTATATTTATTTTGTTTTAATTAAAAAACAGACTTTTGTTTAATGGTATTTTATTTCCTAATTAAGTTTTTAAGAAAGGAAATATGTTTCGTTTCCGTAACTTTAATCTCGAGGATGTAAATTCCGCAGTTTCTGCTTGCGCGGCCAAAGAATGCTTTTATGAATAGAAAAGTCAACTTTTATATAAGACAAATTTCACATAAAAATAGATACAATTTTTATAATTATTTTAATCAGTAATTTTAATGTTTATCTCTAAAATTAAAAAATATTCTTTTTAGCTTCAAGTTTCCAAGAACAAAAATATCTAATTTCTGTAATTTTAATGTTTACTTTTATAATTAAAAAATATTCTGTTTAGTTTCTCATACGAGCTGCGATTTTAATTAATTTCTTAGCCAAGTTTCCAAAAACGAAAATATCTTATTTCTGTAATTCTAATGTTTATTTCTTTAATTAAGAAGAAATATATCTTTTCTTTTATACAAGTTGTAATTTCAACTAAACGCATATTTATTTAAATTGTTTGTATTTTACTTTTACCCCCTCATGGTTTTTAAATTAATCACGTCAGTACAATCTAGGAGACTACGTGGTATAATTTAAGCACCTTGCCAAAATTGCTTGCAGAGGTTTTAAAAAAGACGTAACGCGTGTCGATAACAAAGTCGATAACAAAGTCGGTGGCGTGGGAGAAGGGGGGGAAGGAGGAAGGGTGCAACCCACGGGAAGCGGTCGCGGGAAAACGCGTCCTTCCGAGGCGGCCGGCCAGCCGTAGGAGGATCGTGCAGTCGCGAATAGAGACGCGGTGGGAAGAGAAAAAACTCTCTCTCTCTCTCTCTCCCCCTCTCTTAATATTCCAACATTTACAATTTTACACGTCAAGTGTTAATCTGACAATAAAACGAACCAGAATCAAATATGCTTCGTACCAGCTAATTTCTGGCCGCTTGAGGGGACAAGTCCCAAAGCGCGCGATGAATGATACTTTCTTCCCCCCCCCCCTCTTCCCCGGAGAATAATCGCGGAGCGCGGAAACGAATAGCGGTTCTAACCCGGCCGACGCGACGGCAGTTGAGAAACGGCTCGCGCGCATCCCCCGAGGCCGCCTCGCAGTGGACTTAACGGGCGTCGGTGGCGGGATGTTGGGGGTGCGGAAAAAGTTAAATGCCTATCATGCGAACCCCTCTGAGGAGTCGTCGCCTCCCCGCCGCCCCCCCCCCCGCACCCTCCCGCGAAGCCCACGGCTGTTGAGCGCAGGTGCGCCGCTTTGAGGGTTGGAGCGTCCGGTCGCCTCGCTGAGTGCCATTAAATGGATACCTCGGTTCTTGCCTGCGCATGAGAAGGGAGGAGGGGGGGGCATGAGAGAAGGGCAGTTTCGCAGTTTAGAGAAAGAAGGACGTGCTTCGGGACCCTCCCGCTCTCCCGTCTTTTTCTCTCGGGCACGCATCTCGCACGTTTTGATCGAGATAGAAAGAGAAAGCAAGCAGAGAAACGGAGAGGAGAGAAAGAAAAGGAAAAGGGAGAGAGTCAAAGGCGCGAAAGGACTCTCTCTCCCCACCCCGAAACATGTCACATGTAGGAAAATAAACAAACAACGGAGAGAGGGAGTCGAGAGGATGGACCGTTAAAGGCGACCGATCGAGAGGCCGCGACGGGCGAGGAAGGAGACAACTTCAGCTTCGGCAAGCACATACGAGAGAAAGAGACAGATAGAGAAAGGATCCGCTCGACACCGATCGATCACGAAAACCGCCGCGGCGAGATGGATCCTCCGGCGGCTACAAGCCACCGCGCACGGCTACCGCCCGGTCCCGCGAGTAACAAGTAAAAAGATCACAAGGCCCCCTCCCCCCTCCCCCTAAGAGCAGGAAGTTCTCGTCGGCGAGAGCACGCTCGGCTACCTGTGTCCGTCACATCTGCCGGCGCTGCGCTGCCGCTCAGGAAAAAGCCCGTTTCGCCTCCCACGATTTGTCAAGCGGGCGAATTGAGCGACTAGCTAGGAGGGGGAGGGGAGGGGGCGGAGGGGGTGGCCGAATAGAGGCTCTGGCAGGGGACGCAGGTAAGGACGCGCGCGAAGGCTCCGTCGCGGCGCGCTCGCGAGTGGGGCGAGGAAAAAGCGTTGACGGAGAGGAGAGGAGAGGAGAGAAGAGCGCAGCGGCGGCGGCGGCGGCGGCGGCAGCAGCAACAGGACGCGGAGGAGGAGGAGGAGGAGGTGCAGCAGCAGGGGAGGTGGCGGAGGGGGGCAGGAGGAGGAACGGCGGGTTTAGTTCGTGCGTCGCGCCGAGGCCGCCGAGGGGGGCTCCGTCGTCGCAGGTGAAACGCTCTCCCAGGAGAACGGACTCAGTCGTGGCCGCGCGATCGCGCTAGACGATATTTACCTGCGCGCGCGCGCGAGAGAGAGAGATCCCGGCAGGAGCGTAGCCGCTCTCTCGCGCTCTCAGAGCTCGCTCGCGGAGCCCCCCTCGGGAGCAGCGGGCCCTCCCGAGGCCCTACACGTACGCGCGCCCCGGCGAAACGATAGCACCACGCAACACGGCGACACGACGAGGTAGGACCGAGAGAGAGAGAGAGAGAGTGTGTATGCGCGTGTGTGTGTGTGAGAGAGAGAGAGAGAGAGAGAGAGAGAAAAGCCGCGTATCATCACCGTCCCCCGGCCCGAAGACGGGCGACGCGGCTGGACAAAGTTCGCGCGAGCATCCGGCTCGTGTAAGAAAAACGAGAGCGAGTCCTTTCGGGGACTTTCGGGACTCTCCTGGGCTCGCGCTTCCTCCGAGTGCACGCGCCGCTGGTACCGCTAAGAAGGGGGCAAGGGACTCTCTCGCGGCGCGCCGATAGGATAAGATGCAGGAAGGGCCTCGACGCGATCCGATCGATTCGTCGCGCGATTCGACGCGCGCGATCGACGCGCGAGCCGAGACCGCCCGGAGCCTCCGCGCGTACTCGCGCGAGCGCGCGCGCGCGCGCGCGCGCGGCGTCGGGGCCCGCGGCCGGAATCGAGATCGGGCGAGAGTTTCCGACACGGTGCGTGGAAAGGCCGAGCCGACGAAGCGAGGTCGACGACTGTCAGAGCCGCGGAACTGAGCGGCCGGCGTGTATGTGTGTTGTGTGTGTTGTGTGTGTGTGTGTGTGTGTGTATGTGTGTGTGTGTGTGTGAGCAGGCCAGGGCGGCCCCGGTAGCAATTTTGAGAGCGTGAGTAAGCGCCCCGCCCGCGCGCGCCCCGCGCCCGCCGCAGGCTCGCGCGTCGTTCCCCGCCTGCCCCCGCGCTCGCTCGCGCAGGAAACCCGTTGACCTTCGCGCCTGCCGACGGTGCGTGCGTGCGTGCGTGCGTGCGTGCGTGCGAGAGCGTGCGAAAGCGAGCGGCCGAGCCGCCCGCGAAAGTCCTGCGCGGATTTCGGTTATCGATGTCGGCTCGGGGGGGGTGCACCAGGTGGAGCCTGCGGACCGGGCGACTTTGAACAAAGACCCCCGCGGTGGCTCGCGGCTCTCGCAGAGGAGAGCCGCGAGAGCCGCGGATGTCAGAATCCGAGTTGCGCTGTGTGTTGCGGCTATTAATAGTCCTTACGTGGAGCGTCGCCGCGAGTGAGGATCTCTCGGGTCTTTTTTTTAGGGCTGGATTTACGCGCGGCCTTCCAGCGCGAGTCGCAACCCGCGTCGCGGTCAGAAGCGGCCTAACGGGCGGTTTCACGGAGGACGATTTTTAGCCACTCTGCCGAGCAGTCGCCATTGTTTTCCGTTAGCCGGCGGCGCGTCGGCGCGTCTACGCGCTTCCGACTGTGCTGTCGGATGCAAACTGGATCGGCGGATTAGTCGGATCCTTGAGAGACCCGTCAGCACTTTTGCGCTCACTCAGATTGTCAACCCTTTGCACTCGAGGAATATTTCCGCGCTTCCTTCTACCAGCTCGATAATCGCAACTTTAATTTGTCATGAGAAATTTACGATTACTTCTCAGCTGTGAGAAAAGCATCTCTTATCAAAGCTAATTATATCTTACTTAGCTAATTACTAAGTTCTTAGGAAAACTACAAAAGAGGAGTCTTTATTTCCTTTTAATGTCGTCGCGCTGCATTTTATTGTTTTATTGCTCTCCGCCTTTAAATTTCTCCCATGCCAGCACAGCTGGCATCCCGAGTTATCGGAATGAACGTTCCATGCCAGCTGTGCTGGCATGCCGAGTGCAAAGGGTTAAGGGAGAGCAAAAGTTTCATGCTTGAAGCTCGACGAGGTAGTTGGCTTTTAATTTAGGATACAGTGTTTTGTTCCAAGGACTAAATTACCTGAGCCGATATCATCAAGATTCGAAGAACTTGGACTTCTTTTCTCTCAGACGAATTCACTGGGATTAATGATAGTCGTGCAAGCAGTTGGTAGTGAATAATTGTCGCGCTCGCGGGAGGACAATACAATGTCTCCTATCGGCCTGAATTAATTCCAGGTGTTTAAATTTAGAGTCAGTCCCGAGTTTTTCAGGTGAATCACACGTGCGACTTACGTAACATCGTATCTGCAGTCGTGAGTCAACCGGGAGACTCACATCTGATTCCAGATTCAAGTGTGAGAGAATCTCCAAGTACTGACTATTAATACGGGTCAAAGTCGCCGGCGGGCGACCTCGAGGTCCCCCCCTCCCCTCGCTAAAGTCAGCCGTGAATTTCGCACGGGCCATGTTTATTTCGCTCCTTCACTTTTGCTTCACTCGCTTACTTCGAAGGGACGGGGAAAGCCCGGCGTTTTTCGCGCGTGCTCACGTAACGGGGTCGCGATCCGCGGAATTGGACTTCGCGGAATCGGTTTCGCGTTTCGGTGACCTCCGCGTCTCTCTCTCTCTCTCTCTCTCTCCGCCGTATTTCCTCCATTCCCGCGGCTACGTGTGTGTGTGTCGACCTTTCGCGGGTTACTGTTTTATAACGGTTCACAGCGCGGGATATTAATTCCCCCGGTCAGGGTTCCGATCGCCTGAAACGACGAGGACTCCTCGCGGTGTCGCGCGAGGAGTATCGGATTCGCGAGCGATTACTTTCCGGCCGCTTTAACGTCGAGCTTTAACCCGCCGACCACCGAGGAAACGAGTCAGCGCTTTCTTATCGGAAAGTCGACGAGCTAGCGACGGGATGTCGCAGGTGAGAACGCGGGACGCGCTCAATCGGCGCGATCGCGGAGACTTCTTCTCGAGGATCCTCGCGATCTTCCCGCAGACTTCCGCTTCTTGCCTCTGCTCTTCGCCATCAGTGCGATCATCGATCGCGGCGGAGCCGACGAAAGTTCGGACGGAACCGCGGAAGAAATCGCCGTAGGATCCGCGACGCCTTCGCGCGACGTATTCGGAAGTCGTCCGCGAAGAAGGTGCTCGACCGCATCTTCGTTGCGTCAAGTTTATTTTTGCCGGTCTTGTCTTCGTCGCGCGCCAAGTGTCATCGCGTCACATCGTGTCGTACCGTCGAGAATGGGCGGAGAAGAAGGGAAAAAGATGGATATCGAGATACGTGGAACGTCGATTTACGACAGTTTCTTTTTCTACAAGAGAATAAGCATCTTATCAAAACTAATTACATCTTACTTAGCTAATTATTAAGTTTAAGAAAAACTACAAAAAAGGATCTTTGTTTCCTTTAATGTCGTCGCGCTGCATTTTATTCTTTTATTGCTCTCTGTCCTTAAATCTTCTCTATGCCAGCGCAGCTGGCATTCCGAGTTGCCAGAATAAACATTCGTGCCAGCTGTGCTGGCATTCCGAGTGTAAAGGGTTTATCCGAAGGTAAAGGGTGTAAAGGGAAATTAAAAATTTAACAATTCATGAATCCTCGTGGAGATACGTCGACGGAGAAAGAGAAGAAAATGATAATGGCGCGCATTCCTAGAAATCATAATCATTCTCGGGGGATTTAACAAGTATCGGGCGCGTGCAAAAGTTTTGATGGGTTTCGTGAAAAATCGACGGAGTAATTTTGGTAAAAATTGACTGATTTGTACCAAGCACTCGCCATTGTTTTCTACCGACTCTGCCATATTATGCATCTACGAATGTGCGAGCACTGCCATAAAACCGCGTCAGTCGCGTCTCTGAGGAACTCATCAAAACTTTTGCACTCGTCCGAATTAAAAACAAAAAAAAGCAACAAAATACACATACCGAGAGCGTGCGAGAAGAGGCGTACAAGAATCCACAAAAATCACCGAAATCATCCGTCGGACAAACATCTACCGAGAATACACGCGGGAAGGGAGGAAGAGATTCGCGAGAAACAGCTCGCTACGCCGTTGGTATTATCCGCTGGCACGCAAGAGGACGAGAGAGTGCGTGTCTGGCCGTTTACGCGGAACAGGATGCACGGCCACGCGCATCCGGGAAAACACCCGCGCGTCACCCGCGGCACGTCGATTTTCGAGTCAGTCGCACTCGAGAGAACATTCCTGCCACGGCGCCCACAAGTCGTCCGTCGCGAGCGACACGCTCTCACGCTAGCCGCCTCCGCGGCTTGTTTGACAGGTCGTTCATGCCTTAGTCGGAATTCCGCTCCTTCATTTCCGACCCGCGCACGCGCACGCGCGCGCGCGAGCGCTATCTATTTCGGTCGCTCCGCAACGCGCGTGCGCGCGCGCGAGAATCTTTCTTGTCTCCGCGTTCTTTGCCCTTCGGCGCGGGGCTTTTTGTTGCGTGGCTACTTCACTGTTTTTCGTTACTTTACAGTCGCGTAGATGTGTACGTTCGCCGATCGCTGCGGCAGCGGCGCGCGGCGAGTCCGAGCGAGATCCTGCGCAGGATCGTACGCAGGGTATCCCCCGAATGGTCGTCGTGTTCCTTTTCCTTTTCGCCCGGCACGGATTCCCGGCTCCGTTTCGCCGCGATTCATTCTGCTCGACAGGGTCGAGCTAGTGGATCGTGAGCCAGTCGAGCAATTCGAATGGTCTTGCCAATTAAAGCGCGACAAACGAACCCCCGCAGCCGCGGAAACGATGACGAGTTTGTTTCGGTTTTAGGCGAATCGCGCTTTGACTGAAGATTTTATCCTTTCGTTCATTCGTTAAGGATCGCGGATTCGTGGCAAGTTTGGGGACTTTTTTTGTGTGCTTATATTGTTGGGGCAATTTTTTGACGTCCGGGAAAAATAATCTGACAGTGCGTGGACATGATATCTGTCAATAACGAGATTTTTCCAAAATTTTACTTTTACAAGTATATTTATAGTAAATGTTTATTTGTAGGTTTTTATATTCTCGCGTTGGCAATATTTAAATTAGAAATGGAAGTATTTTAACGTAGACATATGTCAGTATTCCTGAAGAGGTTAACTTTTTCCTCTGTATGAGCGTATCTAAAATGTCCTAAAAAAGGGATGTCACGCGTCTTTAAAGCTCAAATCAGGCTAGGAGTTGGGAAAATCACGACTAGATATTACGATTCAACGGATCAACTAGCTTCGACCTTGGCTCGTTTTTACTTTCCTGATCGGCCAAGTTCCAATCCACTTCAATCCACGATATTCCATCATCAATACCTCGCCCGACACATCCTTAGCACGTTGACTGTCACGCTGACTTCCACTGAT